AAATCCTATATAATAATGAAGGAGGGGGTGAGACAACGGACCGATAAAAGGTTTATTAAAAGTAAAATATGAGATAGGTTAGCTTAGCATAATATATTTATTTAAATATGAGAAATGTAACTATTTCATTTAAAATAAATTGTTTGGGAATCGTACCTTGTACAGTGTAGCGAAGAGAACGAAAGCTACAATAAATATATTAAATGTAAGCTATATTAAAAAAGAATCTAGAAAAATAATTCCCCGGAAAAAAAATCTCCATTTTTAAGATAATTAAAATTACAAAATTAGGAGAAAAAATTCCCTATAAATAAATCAACGAAATAATAATTCTCAAATAAAATATTTAAAAATTTTGATAAAATTAATTCTGAAGAATTATTAGGATTATGTTTTATACGTATTTATAGATATATAAAACGAAAATCAACATTTTTCAAATTATATTCCTAATAAATTTGGTCAATCGAATATTTAGTGAGTGGTCGGTTTTGAGCTCGGCAATCGGTCAAATCAAATCATTTTCAAAATATTTTTTAGAATAATGCTTAGCACGTAAATATACACGTAACAAAAATGAAGAGATTTTGATAAATAACGCCAGCAATATTTACTTTAAAAAATTTCCATTGTTTTACTATTCTAAACCTACTCATTAAACATCAAAGAAACCTAAAAAAAAATTTTAATTTTTAGGTTTTTCATATGTATATATATACCCAAATATAAAAAAAGTGCTATCCAATCATCATTCCGGTTTCCTAAAATGATACATATTCAAACATATAACGCCCTCTTACGGATATATATTTGTTAATTTTTAAAATTGAATAAAATGTATATTTGTTTTAATAAGCTAGAAAAATAAATTTCTTATTAATAATATTAAATAAAAATAAAATTATATACTATATCATTTAATCAGTATTCTTCATTTATAATAAAAAATGATTTAAATATATTTTAAAAAAAGTTTAAAAAATTATCATTAAAAAAATATACGTAATAAATTTTTGATTGATTTATAATTGATAATGATTGATTGCCTTTTAGCAATGCAGTTTAGCAATGCATTAGCAATTCAATGTATAGTGGGGAAATTTTTTCCGGGGAATTATTTTCCAGGGGAATTTTATTCCGGGGATTTTTTTTCCGGAGAATTATTTACCTGGGAATTATTTTCTGGGGAATTATTTTCCGGGTATTTTTTTTCCGGGGAATTATTTTCCTGGGGATTTTTTTCCGGGGAATTAATTTCCGGGGATTTATTTTCCGGGATTTTTTTCCCTGGGAATTATTTTCCGGGATTGCATGTCTTATTTATATTGTATGTCTTATTTATATCACATATCTATATAAAGCATATCTTATTTATATCGTATGTCTTATTTATATCGCATATCTTTATAACGCATGTCTTATTTGTTATTTATATCGTATATCTTATTTATATCGCATATCTTTATAATGCATGTCTTATTTATATCGTATATCTTATTTATATCGCATATCTTTATAACGCATGTCTTATTTATATCGCATATGTTTATAACGCATGTCTTATTTATATTTATATCGTATATCTTATTTATGTCGCATATAGTTATAACGCATGTCTTTTTTATATCTTTTCTAATCTTTATATATGCGTAAATTTTATATACAATTTAAATAAAGAATTTAAATTAATTAAAAATGTTAATAACTTATATATTATTTCTAATCCTGTTTTATCTCACATCTCTATATTAAACTTTTTTGGAACTTCCTTAAATTAATATATAAAACTTTAAGAGTTAATTTTAAATACAAAATAAGCAAATTGCCTTAAATATCAATGTAAGAGTAGAAAATATAATACTTAATCTTTACACGTCAGTCATAAATGTCAGTATTAATAGAAATATTTTATTTAATATATGCGCGTCAGTCATAAATGTCAATATCACTGAAAAAAATAATATTAAATCTTAACATGTCAGTCATAAATATCAATATCACTAAATTTGAATTTATTTAAAACAGGAATTCATTTAAAACGTTGCACCGGCCTTCGGCCGGGATTGTGTATTAATTTAGTTATATTCTTATCTATTAATTCTTATAATTACTTTATATTAACAAAGTCGGTAACGTTTTATAATTTCAAAATAGGTAATATTTTTTAAAATAGGAAAATGATAAAATATGAATGAATGATGTTGATTTATTTTTGGATAAAAATAAAACATATGATTAAGGTAAGGATCAAAATTATTATTTATATATTAAAAACGTTAAAATGTCAAAAAAAAAAATTGTGCGGAAGAAATTTGAAAATTACAATAGATTTATGTGGTAGACAATTGCATAGTTTTGCGGAAGTGAGATGTCTGCGTGTAAACTAAAAAATTGCGGGAGTCTCTTGCTGATTGGAAAAGAGCTGGCAACCCTGATTTCAATATGATCACATAATTATTTAAAGAATAAAGTGCCCTTTTCCAGGCCACTATGTATAACACAATTGCAGAGTTGGACAGGTCCTCCAGAAAACGAATCTAGATATAAATACAGGTTCTTTATAAAAATTTAATCTTAGATACAGATATTAGTATCCTTTTTAAAATATCATAAATATACAAGATAAAAATACTTGTATCTTTTTCTAAAGGAAAGTATCTTAAATACAAGATACTTTGATAAAATTATTTTTCAAAGTCGTAGTACAGGATTGAATGAATTAATTTAAATTTAAATAAGATTTAAATAATTAACTAAAATTTAAATAATTTAATAAAATAACACGATCGAATAAACTATCACTTTATTCTATGTTTCAAAAAAGAAAAAGATTAATAATAATTTCTGAGATAAAAAACGATTATTATTAGCATATCCACCCAAATTATACGAAACATAAAACTTATTAATATACTCCAAAAATATGAATAAAACAAAAAATTGAAATAAAAATTAAAATAATAAAACCATCGTTTAAAAACACCACATAAATAAAACATAAAATTATCATAAAAAAATCATCCCTAATCACAAAATAAGTAAAACATCAAATTAGATATATAAAAATTATCGTTAATCACAACAATTATCATTAGCAATTAAATTAGAATTTATAAAAACAATTTTTATTATTTATTGGTGAATAACATAAAATACTCATATAATAAGAATGAATATTTACAATAATTAATAAAATATTTAATGATGAGTTGATTAAAATAATCAGGCATTTTAATATTCGTTTTAGCCCATTCATGACATAGGCAGAGAAGGGAGACTAGTATTTTTAATGATAATTGAGATATTAATTTGCAAAGGAGTAGTTAAAATATATTAAAACTGTTGTAAATATTTTTTTTTGTTTTTATAGCAAGTCATTTTGAATATTTTTTGTCAATATTATTTTTTTTTATCAATATTATAATTTTGTCGTTATTATTATGTTTGGTTATAAAAACCTTGAAAAAAGAGGAAAATTAGAGTTTTTTTGTTTTTTTTAAAAAAAAATTAATTTAAATTTTTTGTTTTTTGTAATTAAGAAAATTATCCTTGTAGATTCAATAACCGTTGTGATATGTTGCTATTGTAGATTCAATAAAAACCGTATATTAATCTATATTTTTTGTTTTTTGTAATTAAGAAATTGTACTTAAGAAATTGGTACTTAAGAAATTGGTGCCGTGTTGATTGAACACCAGAACCTAGAGGTTAATCGCGGTACAAATATTGTTAAAGCGAAAAAAGCACTAGTACAAATAAGTGAAACGATAAATCTTTGGGAAATTTCCAAATATTGTTAAAGCGAAAAAAGCGCTAGTACAAATAGAAAAGATAAATCGTTGGGAAATTTATAAATATTGTTAAAGCGAAAAAAGCGCTAGTACAAATAAGTGAAACGATAAATCTTTGGGAAATTTCCAAATATTGTTAAAGCGAAAAAAGCGCTAGTACAAATTAAATTGAAACGATAAATCTTTGGAAAATTTCCAAATGTTAAAGCGAAAAAGCGCTAATACAAATTAAATTCGTTTCAATTTATTTGTACATCGTTGGGAAATTTCCAAATATTGTAAAACGAAAAAAGCGCTAGTACAAATAAAATTGAAGCGAATAACACAAAAATTAGTAAAGCGGAAAAAGCGCTAGAACAAATAAAATTGAAGCGAGTAACCGCTGTCAAATTTACAAGAATTAGTAAAGCGAAAAAACGCTAGTACAAATAATATTGAAGTGAATAAAACGCTGTAGATTTGTAAAGATTTTTAAAACCAGTAAAGCGCTGTTACAAAAAAAATTGAAGCGATTAAACGAGGGAGATTCGCAAATATTTTTAGAGCGAATAAAGCGCTATTTAAAAAAAATATAAAGCAAATAAGTCGCTTGATATTTGCAAATATTATCAGAGCGAATAAAACGCTATTACAAATATTTTTAGAACGAATAAACCGCTGGTTACAAATATAATTAAAGCGAATAAGGCGCTAGTTTAAATAAATTTAGACAAATTTTTTTGGAATAAATATTAGTTTATTAAACATTTATACCAGTAGTGTGAAATTATTAGTTAAATTGTTGAAATTTAAAGCTATTTTACATTAATTTTCGTGAATTAATTATTTGAAACAGAGTAAACACGGAATAGTGTGTTTAGTTTAAAATATCATACAAAGAATAGTAGTGATATATAAAATTTAGTCATTATATTTATGTATATGTGCTTTATAGGAATATTCTCAGTCCTATTCCTATCTTATCTCTTAACTCTCCAAGTGATATAAATTTTTATTATAAAAGTTATAGTTAATTTCTTGTGAATTGGTTATGAAAAGCTTAAAATTCATAAAAACTGGGAGATCCAGTATAATATTCTGGGAGCACTTCTCATTTTAGTAATATGGGTATGTAGTTTAATATTTGGAAGACGAATTAGAAGAAGTAGAAATGTAAGAATTAAGGGACAAACATTGACCATCGAAGGACATAACGAAGAAGAAGATGTGATGGGTAAGGTAACCTGGTTACCTGTACAGAAATTGATCAAAGGATGGACTGATAGTAGCCTAGGAGAGTTGAATATAAATGATAGGATTGATAACATGCAAAAAAGAGACCGTTATAGAGGGTCTAGATATAACAATCAATTGGGGCCATATAGATGGTCAAGAGAAAATTCCCAGGGAAGACGAATGGAAATAAGGCCAGGTTTTAATCCACGGGGGAGAGAAAATCTAAATTGTTATAATTGTGGAAAACAGGGCCATATGGTAAGAGATTGCCAAGAAACGAAATGTTTCGAATGTGGAAAATATGGACATATAGCTCCTTATTGCCCGGGAAAACGTGATAAATTACGTTGTGCGGGTTGTGGACGATTTGGTCATAATAGGGAGGAATGCAATGTTGCCAATTTCAATACAAGGGGCGGTTTTCCACAGAGAGGTATGGCTCAAATTGCTCCAAATGTAAGAATGCTTGAAAGCGGGAAAAATAAGGATATAGAAATATTCAATTTAACGGAGAATAAAAGTTTAAATAATATATTTCGATGCCGCAAGGAAGGACATATGGCGAGAGAATGTCAGTATTTGTGACTATATGAGAGCAAAAGATATACCACAGAGGTCGAGAAGCGGTGGGTCAAAGAAATGGAAAAATTTAATTATGGGAATAAAAGGGAGAAGTCGAAATGTATAAATATGATCCAAGAGGAAATAGTGCATGATCCTTGCCCTAGAGTATAGATTAATTTGAATGGGAATATGGTATGCATGTTATTTGACACCGGGGCAGCTATCTCCGTGATGGGATATGAGAAATTTCGGAGTATTTGGTCGGAGGGAATGATTAAAAGCGAAAACATCAAGATCCGGCAGTTGGATGGATCAGAAGTAGCCATAATGGGAAGAGTAGAATTAAAAGTGATGTTGGACAATAGAGTGGAGATATTGGATTTATGGATAATTAATCGAAGAGTAGAGGCCGTATTGGGATAGGACTGGATCACGCGAATAGGTCCAGATTGTAATTTTTGGGGTGTATTTGCTTGGTGCGGTATATTTGTACCTATTGAAAGGGATGAGGGAAATCAATATATGAATTATTGGTATAGAGATAAATTACCTGAAATTGAGACCTTTTTGGGGGGAGAAAGGGGAGGAAGAGGAGGAAGAGTAGGTATCGGGGGGAATTTTAGGGGAGATATCGGGGGGAATTATAGGGGAGGTATCGGTGGAAATTCTAGGGGAGATATCGGGAGGAATTTTAGGGGAGATATCAGGGGGAATTCTAGGGGAGATATATCGGGGGGAATTCTAGGGGAGATATCGGGGGGAATTTTAGGGGAGATATCGGTGGGAATTTTAGGGATTGTCGCGATTTTAGGAGAAAAGAGGGAAGAGAGGATGCTGAAAGGAAGGAAGAAATTAATGATGATGAAGAATTAGAAGTAAAACTAGATGAAATTCCAAATGGTGAAGCAAAGTTGCAGAAAGAATGGTCGGAAAATGATGGTATGAAACAAGGAAATACCAAAAGAATATATAATCAAGAAATAATAATGAAGGAGAACGAGAGAGGGCGGCTAAAAGACGAGGAATTTCGAAATGAAGAAATGGAATTTGCGATAATAAAAGTGCAAGAAGGAGTGCGAAGATTGGTGAATAATTATAAGGAAATCTTTGAAGAAAGTTTGGGATGTCTAAGAGATTATGAAGTAGATATCAAATTAAAGGAGGGACATGTACCAAAATTTTGTGCGTTACGGCGAATACCGTTTGAATGGCGAAGTGGATAAGGAATTGGATCAATGGGTGCAAAAAGGTATAGTATGTCCTGTAGAATATAGCGAATGGGCAACACCATTGGTACCGGTGAAGTAGGCTAATGGAAAGCTCCGTTTATGCGCAGATTTTAGGGTCACGCTAAACCCGTGGGTAGTGGAGGTCAAATATCCGTTGCATCGAATTAAAGAAATATTGGCCAATTTGAAGGGTAGTATGTACTTTTCGAATGTAGACTTTTCTAACGCATATTTACAATTACGGGTAAAACCTGAAGTACAAAGATTATTAACCACTACTCCAAGGGGGTTGTATGCATTTTGTAGATTATCGTTTGGACTTAGCGTGTCGGCTCCGATTTTTCAACGAACAATGGCGGCTGCTTTTCAAGGTCTAAAAGGAGTATTTTACTATATGGATGATGTGTTGGTAATGGGAGAAACTCCTGAACAGCATGAACGAAGATTGGAGGAGGTGTTCAAAAGAATCAGGGATAACAGGGATAAAGGATTACGGGCAAGCGCAGAGAAAAGTGTATTAGGAGTGTCTGAGGTTATATATTTGGGTCGTAAAATCAATGGAAAGGAGGTTAAACCTTTAGACAAAAATAGGGCGAACATAACAAGCTTGCTGAGACCTAATAATAAAGTGGAGGTACAGGCTTTCCTGGGAATGGTAAACTATTATCACCGTTTTGTGGAGGGCTTTGCGCAGATAGCGGCACCATTATATAAATTATTAAAAAAGGAGAAAAATTTGTGTGGAAAGATGAGCAGGAAGAGGCCTTTGAAGAGTTGAAACGTAGAATCGGAAGAGAACCCATTTTAGTATGTTTTAATAACGATTTGGAAGTGATATTGTCCGTGGATGCTTCAAGTAGGGGTGTGGGCGGAGCATTGCTACATTACATAGACGAAGTGGAGAGACCTATTTTGTTTTTCTCGAGAGTTTTTAAAGCAGCGAAGACAAGGTATTCAGTAATAGAACAAGAGGCCTTGGCAGTTATTTTTGGATTGACCAAGTGCCGGGAATACTTAATTGGACGTCGATTTATAATCTACATAGATCACAAACCTTTGGTTTATCTTTTCAAAAAAGATAATAAGGAGCTGATGTTATCTCCTCGTTTACAAAGATGGTTATTACTGGTTGGCAGTTTTGATGTGCAGGTGAAATATAGGCGGGAAAGGGAAAACTATTTACCTGATATTTTGTCTCGATGTGGGGCTGGAGAAGAGGAAAGAGAAATAGGGTCTGGAGAAGTGGAAGAAAAGAAAGAAAAGGGACTAATTAGAACGATAGCAAGGATAGCTCGAGGTGGTCCCGTGACTTGGGAGGAACTAAAGAGGATCACCTTGAAAGATCGCGAACTAATGAGAATTAAAAGGAACGTTATGGGAAAGAGACCGTGGAGAGAGGGAGATAAACATTTTAAGTGCATAGAAAAAGAGCTGACCATAGTGGATGAATGTCTGGTCAGAGGAAACAGACGAGTAGTACGAGTGAAATTGAGAGGCGCAGTATTATCTATGATACACGCAGGACATCAAGGGATTGAGCGAAGAAGTAATGGGGGCGTGAATATGTGTGGTGGCCTGGCATGAATAAGGAAATTGAAAATATATGCCGAGGTTGTTTGATGTGTAATTCATGGGCCAGTATGCCCCGTAAAGACAAGAGAAGCGTATGGCCGAAAGCGGTACGACCTTGGGAGAGAATCCATTTAGATTTTCTCGACTTTGAAAACAAGATGTATCTCCTGGTGGTTGATGCTTTTTCCAAATGGGTAGAGTACAAGAAGTGAGGGGATTGACAACCCAAGTCGTGATAAAGATGTTAAAAAAACTTTAAGCCCGGTTTGGAGTAGCTAATATAATAGTTTTGGATGGGGTCCGGCCTTCATAAGTGGTCAATTCAAGTTATTTTGTGAGGAAACAGGGGCGAGACACGTTTTAACGCCTCCATACCATCCAAGCTCAAACGGCCAGGCGGAATGGTAGCACTTGTTAAGAGCTGGTTAAGAAAATCAAAGTATGGAGATGGGGAAATTTGGATAGCTGTAACTTATTATAACAACAGTCGAAAGAGGGAAGAACACTCTCCAGCAGAGATGTTTTTAGGGCGGCGAACCAGGATATTATTGGATTTAAAACTACATCAAGAGGTGGAGAGAGAGATAACGGAGAAACCTGAATTTATGGTGGGACAAACCGTGTGGGCAAGAATATATGGAGGTACAAGAAGGTGGGAGTCAGGGGTGATAGTAGAAAACATTGGAAATAAATTAAGTCGAGTAAAATTCTCTGAAGAAAGAGAAGGAATAATGCATCGGGACCAACTAAAAAGGGGACTGGAGCCAGGAAGATTACGATATGGCATATTATATGAAATTAAAAAGGAATGTATTTGTCTATGTAATAATATCATGAATTAATTATATATATATTCCCATTTACGGGATAATATGTATCTTAAAATAGCAGTGTGATGTTCCAATCATATGATACTTAATAAACGCGATTGGTGAAATATTTTCTGTTTCCCTCGCTCATTTTTTTTGAAGAGAAATAATAGCATTATTGGCTCATAAAACGTCATAAATCAGATAACTTATGGTATAAAAAAATGTTATGTGGTGGTGCCCAAATGATAGTTTATATTGAATTGTCAAGTTAATAAATCATGGAAATGAATAAAATTGGTACAAGATTGTATCTTGTTGGAGAGGGAATAGAAGGGTGATGACAGTTTAAAAAAAAAAGGGATAAACATGTTTTGAAGAGGGTTATTGGAAAGAATAAAGGGAGGAGTATCCAAAATTTTATATTTTAAATTCATTCAGAAAATAAATTATTAAAATTTTAGCTGTAAAGAAATTTGTTTTTGTATTCAAGAAGTTGTTAAAAGTACATTATATATTTTTTTCATTATACCTTTCTTTTATAATGTGACTTAGCAGCCATCCATGAATGTATTTATTGGGAGAATATCACGATTCGAATTAGTATATTCCAGGGCAGGGTAGATGCAGAGGGAAATCGTTTGTATCCCGAATCGAGACCCATTCCCAGATCCCCGCGAAGAAGACAAATAGCGCCATTTGAAATGATCAACGGAGAGGGGTGGGAGTCCGAATTGCCCGAACCCAATAATTCGGGAAGGCGCACAATAAGAAATGTTAGATTATGCTTCATCGGTGTAGCCCGAGGTCACTTGAAAGTTCGATGCCCCCGCGGGCCCCGCCATGCTTTTGTGAGAAGGTATGATGGCAGAAGAAATTTCATAGGAGCAAGAGATGAAAGTGGTAGTGGAGAGCGGAGACGAAGAGCCTGGCCAGTCGGACCGTGTTACCAGCGGTGACGAGGGCGGAAAACATACAAACAACTACTGGGGAGTTGGAGACTGAGCGACTGGTGACGGTAGTGGAACCGTCGCGGGAGTCAGCACCAAATTCTAATAACGACGCTGAATTGCAGGAAGAATGGCCGATAGTTGATATATTGGTCGAGGAGTTAGAGGAATTGCTTAGAAAACAGTAAGAAGATTTTTATTATATGTAGTATGATTTTTTTTTGGTAGTATAAAAAAAAAATATAGATAAATATATAATTGTAAAATAAATTTTAAAAAAAGGGGAAACATATGTGCGATAATATATATACAATAGTATTGTTCACTTCGCGTCAATGTTATTTTTATTTGTTTTCATGTTATAGCAGGTTTAATTGTAATTAATGGCGGGCGTGTTGTAAATATTTTTTTTTGTTTTTATAGCAAGTCATTTTGAACATTTTTTGTTGTCAATATTTTTTGTCAATATTATTTTTTTTTATCAATATTATAATTTTGTCATTATTATTATGTTGGGTTATAAAAACCTTGAAAAAAGAGGAAAATTAGAGTTTTTTGTTTATTTTAAAAAAAATTTTATAATTATTAATTTATGTTTTTTGTTTTTTGTAATTAAGAAAATTATCCTTGTAGATTCAATAACTGTTTTGATATGTTGCTATTGTAGATTCAATAAAAACCGTATATTAATCTATATTTTTTGTTTTTTGTAATTAAGAAATTGTACTTAAGAAATTGGTACTTAAGAAAAAAACAAATTATTATTTTTTAAGATAATCAATTTTAAAAATAATTTATGACCCTTTCGGCGCATTTAACATTGTGCCAAAATTAACCTTTCAACTGGAGCTGATGAAGGTATATAGTATTATATTTTAAAAAAATGGAGGGACAATAATTAATTTCTAATGTATTTCGACAGTCTTTAATATAATTAAAAATCTTTCGCTCATTATTTGTATTATAGAACTCAATAACATTTATTTCCAAAAAAATAAATCATCATTTTCATTAAATCTATTGGTGTTATAGTTTGACTTTATATACTACTGGTACTTCATTTAGGGCTTTTTTTTAATAATATATTTTTAAAGTATTTTTTCTATTCAATCCATAAGTTCTTAAAATATGGATGTGATAATAATGTCAAAAAAGAGTCATTATATTCATATCATAGGAAAAATCAAAATATTTTTCCCACTTCTTGGACAGCTTTTAATAAATATAGACAATATTGCAAACTTAAATTAAATTTGCTAAAGTATCTTTTAACCACAAATAGTATAGGCACTAATTCAAAATGTACTACTCTGCCCTTGTAGTTTGTCTGGGCTTAAAACCTTACAATATTTCTCAATATAAACAATAACCCCTTCTTTAAAAATGGACAATCAAATATTTCGACTAATAAATTCAAATGTGACTTCTCTGGTTATGCATAGAACTTTCAGCTGATTACCACCTGTTATCTCCCTTATCTTTTCTAAAGATTTGGGCCTTCCACATGAATTCCATAATTTTGTATATTTTTTCTTCTGAGTTTGATATTACAGAACGACTATATTTCGGGGTCAATTAGGGATAAAGTGTGGGCGCACCTGATGTGCTTGGTAATAAACTAAAGATAAACATCAAAAAAATTATATAATAAGTGTTGTGATCGAAGATTCTATTCTAATTTTATGTTTTACGTATGTTGTTTGTAACGATGGTTTATTTATAATTTATATCATTCTAATTTTATGTTTTATTCATTTTATAGATTTTTGTTTTATTCATATTTTATAGAAATAATAATTATTGGGTATTTTATCTTCGTATAATATTTGATGGTTATGCAAATTTTTATAAATAGATTATAATATATAATATTTGTTTTTTTCTGGCACAAAAAGAATCATTATACTTTTCAATTTTTGGAAAGATTTTTTTTTAGTTTCTTTTGTAAAATATTTTTAACTTTAATTTTTTTATAAATTTTTGCATAATATTTTTATAATGTTAATTCAATTATTTTATAATTAAGGGAGAATAAAGGAAACCATAAATTTTGTTAATGTTTCAAACTTCATACCCTTCATTATTAAATCTGTCATCTATTTTTTATTTAGATTCAACTATGCTTTTTATATTCTACAATGGTGCTCTAAACTTTTAATTCTACACTAACCATCATTTTTTCATTAAATTCTAATAGGTAATCCTCATCCTCAAAATCATTGTCAAGATCATTTAATTTTACACCACATTCAGTAAATGACTTGAGACAACTTATACGTAACAGTAGCAATTAGTTTATCAGAAATCTCATATCTAGACCTGTGCGCCGCCGGCAATTTTATTCACGCCGGAACAGCCGCCGATTGAGATCAGCAACGTGAGCCGGGTAGCCGCCGATTTTTCTTATGGCGGCGGCGCGGCGTGTGTAATATTTAGAATGTTGTTTAATTATATTTATATATTAAATTATTATTATTTAAATTTGAATATTAACATTAATATAATAAAACATGAATTGTATTCTATTGCTTTATATAATAGAATAGTGTATATCATTTACATTCATTCATACACCATATTCATTTCGGCTATATTAATTATTTTTATGGATTTGCGCGTTTTAAACCACCCTATATACAATTATGAAATAACAACTCTCTCTCTACTAATCAAAAATCAAGTTATGTGTGGAAGTACTTTGGAAATCTTATTTTGAAGAATGAGAATAAGAAAAGCACGATAATGCCTGATTATATTTATTGTGAACCTTGTTTAAAATTGGGGAAAAAAGATGAGGAAGATTCGGATAAAAATAATCCATTTTCACAGTAATTTATTTTAATTTTAGACTTATATATATATATATAATTTATATATTAGTTATGATATCAAATGTTATAGCAAAAATATAAGTACGAGTAACCTTTCTCGTCACTTACTAAATTTGCATAAAATATCAGAAAAAACTAATAATAATAAATCCATTCAAACTCTAAAAATGTTTCTAAAGCCAACGCCAACATGTAGCAAGAATATAAAAGATAAAAAATGGCTCTTAGGTTAGTATTAATGTTTATTAATATTCATTTTAAATTTTTAACTGGTTTGTTAAATTAATTTTATTAAGCTCTATTTGTTCAAAACAACTAAATTTTTTAGTTTGTTTTGTCAGCTCTTATTTTGAGAACTTTTTAATGTACAAACTTAATATAAAATTTATTAAAATAATTATGTAAAACTTTAAAACAACTAAATTTTTAGTTTGTTTATTGTCAGCTCTATTTTGAGATCCAATGCATAAACTTATGTATAATTTAAATTAATAAAATAATTATGTAAAACTTTAAAACAACTAAATTTTTAGTTTGTTTATTGTCAGCTCTATTTTGAGATCTTTTTAATGTATAAACTTAATATATAATTTATTAAAATAATTATGTAAAACTTTAAAACAACTAAATTTTGAGTTTGTTTATTGTCAGCTCTATTTTGAGATTCTTTTAATGCATAATTTAAATTTATTAAAATAATTATGTAAAACTTTAAAACAACTAATTTTTTAGTTTGTTAATTGTCAGCTCTATTTTGAGATCCTTTTAATGCATAAACTTAATGTATAATTTAAATTTATTAAAATAATTATTAAAACTTTAAAACAACTAAATTTTTAGTTTGTTTATTATCAGCTCTATTTTGAGATCTTTTTAATGAATAAAATAAACTAAAAATATATTTTATTAAATTATGTAAAACTTTATTTTGAAAGTTCAAAACTAAATCAAATTTTTTATTTGTTTCTCTTTTTTAAATATCTTTTTTCTAATAGGGCGAAATTATGTTTTGATGTGCTGCTTAGATTTATTGCCATTTGATTCTATAAGCAATAATGGGATGACAGATTTTCTAAAGGTTTAAAATTTAAATAAAATGATTATTAAAAATTAAATTGCCTAAAAAAATAGAAATATAAGATAATTGATTCCTCATCAGAATTGCCTAATAGGACAACTATTAGTCGGGGAGCACTTGATGATGTTTATTATTCTATAAAGACACATGTTTTAAACCTGATTAATGCTGGTCCAAAATTCTGTTCCATTACTTTTGATTTATGGACCGATCATTTCAAGCGGCGAAATTATATTACATTTAGTCTTCATCATTTAGATGAAAATTTTGTTTTAAAATATTTTACCCTGGCAACCCGAAATGTGACTCAAAAGCATACTGGGGAAACCATATTATCGGAGATTGATGGTATCGAAGAGGAGTTTCATTTAAAAGCCAAAATAATACAAATGGTAACTGATGCAGGGGCAAATGTCAAAAGAAGCGTCAGATTGGGGGATTATGAGCATCATTTATGCTTAGGCCATGGACTACATAATTTGGTTACAGTTGATGGCATAAAAAAAGTTGCCAGAATTGATAATCTCCTTAAAAAAATTAGAGAAATTATTTCAGCCCTCAGATATCGAGTAGCTGATTTGGAATGTGAAATTGAAGATGAGCATCGTAAATGTCTCCAGTCAATTTATGAGACAGGTCATATCTTGGATATTGATGATTCTGATCCATACCTTGATGACCATTTTGATAACGAAGCGGATAATAGAAATGTCATTACACCAACCAATCTATATAATATAAAAACGTTAGAATTAAATTGCCCTACCCGCTGGCACAGCATATTAATTATGCTAGAAAGTGTTCGTAGCGTGAACAAAAATCCTATTAATAATGTTTTGAATAAAATAGGAAAACAATGTTTAAAACTTTTTAATAATGAATGGGATATGATTGGCGAGCTTTATGCCGTATTAATTCCATTCCGAGAGTCGGTGGAATTTCTTTCCTCCCAAAAGGGATCGACTATAAATCTAGGGTTATTATTTCGCAGTGAAATAGAAACCCACATACAGATCAATATATCTGATTCCTCAGATATTATTTGTTTAAAAGAAAATATGCAAAAAAAGCTTGACCATAGGTTTCCCATTACTGAACTTCAAGTTATTTTATATTTTTATTAATAAAATTATATTTTGATTGAACATTAGATATTAGCGACTCTCCTTGATCCCAGATTTCAAAATCTGAAAATTGTGTCAGAATATTTAAATTCAAATTCTACTACATCATTGCAATTTTTAACAAGACATTTAAAACTTTTAGAAAATGATAAAAATGCACAAAGTGAAATCCAAGTTGAAGATAATGGGGAGACTTTCAGTTCTTATATCGCCAAAATAGCTCGTAAACATTCCATTCCAGGCAGTGATTATAACAATATAAGTAATTTAGAACAAGAATGCCATATTTTGCTAAGCCAAAATAATATCCCAGAAGAGGATGCATTAACCTTTTGGAAGAAAAAGCAACTGGAACTTCCTAGGCTTGCTAATTTAGCTAGGAAGGTTCTTTGTATACCTGCAACCAGTACACCCAGCGAAAGAATTTTTTCCATTGCTGGATTAATACTCAATGCAAAAAGGACTTCTTTATGTCCCACCAATCTTGATAAAATTCTATTTATTCATGATAATTATAATTTAGCTAAATCTGAATTCTGATTTATTATATTTCTTACTTAATATTTTGTTTGCATTCCAAATATATATTTGTTATAATAAAAATCAATAGAATATTACTAACATATGTTGTTTATGTGACTCTGATCTGAGTGAAAATGCAATTCCTTAGTCTATTTCTGAGAATGAGAAAATACATGAATTTAAATTGAAGTGAGACAGGAAATAATTTAAGAAATAAACTATGTTAACAATGTGTTAGAAAAGAGCGCCAAATTATAAAAAAATGTAATACATTGATTTATAAATTAAATTTATTAAAAAAATTTTTTAAAATAAATATCGCGCCGCCGACAATTTAGTAGGCGGCGGCCGCCGTCAATTGAGACATCGGCGCACAGGTCTACTCATATCCTATATAAATTTCTTACAATAACTATACAATTTTCAAATGAATGTTTTTCAAGTATTCTTTTACATGCCAATGCTTTTGATTGCCTATCAAGGGTTCCTTGTGTAATCTTTAAATACAATAAAAAATAATTTTAAAAATGATATAATACTAGTGAACTGTTATTTATATAAAATTACAGGATTTTATTTACCACAAATCTGCAGTGTGCAGATATATGATTGAGCCTTTAAATTTTTTAATGTATCTACTTCATTCTCAAAAATTTCCTTTATTCTTCTTTGCAAAAACCTCATTGAAAATTTTTAATGATCCAACATTACTAAGAATGTCTAGATTTATCCATATATAAATTATACAACTTTCCATCATTGTAATAAATTAGGCTGTTCACAGGGGCATCACTATCTTTTACAATCACAGGGAATTCATCTCATATTTTTTATTTTGCGGTTTTAAAAATAATTATACTTATTATATTAAAATTTGCAAACTCTTAACTAACAATCAAATTTTATATTTTATATTATGCATACATACTAATACTAGAATATTAATAATAAGGAAAACAATACAAAGTTAAATATAATATTTTTTTATAAAATATTTATCTATTTAATATAGTATTTGCGATTGCAGAAATATATATTATATTTTATAATATCAAAGAGTATAAATATTTGTGAATTCGAATATTAAAAAATTTTGAAGTTAAGAATTATAAAAGTATTAAAAATTATTCATTTTCCTTTATTATCCAATATATCTGTTATGTGTGTTAAATTGGAAAATCATTAATATTTTAGATGAATATATTTTTTTAATTATCTTGCGCAATCATTATTTTAATATATTTTGTAAAGAAATAAAAAAGAATAATTATAAAAATTGTTTATGTCATTTGTTTAAAAATTAATTATAATATTATTAATCAATTTATATCTATTTTTCGGGTATGACTAATTACTGCCTTGCTAAAAAGCAATTAATCATAATCAATCATAATTTGATGATATAATATCTTTTAAAAAAAAATTTTCAAAAGTATTTTTTTTATTTTACATAAATCAATTTGTAATTAAGTAAAAAATTGATATTAAATACCTAATAATTTAAAATTCTATTTTTACTTAATATTATTGGAAAAAAAATATATTTACTAGCTTATTACAACTTAAATTTTATTTTTCAATTACAAAATTTAACAAATCTATATCCATAAGGGCGTTAAATACATAAATATGAAAATATATTATTAGGAAACCAGAATAAATATTGGATATCGCTTTTTTTTCTATTTGGGTGTAAATACATGTGAAAAACCTAAAAAAAAATTAAAAAAATAGAGGTTTCTTTGACATTTAATTAATGAGTAGGTTTAGAATCGAAAAATAGTAGAAAGTTTGTAAGGAACATATTGCTGGCGTTATTGATCAAAATCTCTTCATTTTTGGTTTATACGTGTATAGTTAGGTGTTAAACATTATCCTAAAAAATATTTTGAAAATATTATGATTTGACCGAATGCCGAGCTCAAAACCGACCACTTACTAAATATTCGATCGACCAAATTTGGTGTTAATATTTTTTGGAAAATAATCATTTTTGCTTAATTTATCTATATATACGTGTAAATCATTATCCCAAAAAATATTTTAAAAATATCGGGATTTGACAGATAACCGATTTGAAACCGGCCTAATGACTAAATACTGCCTTGCTGGCGTTATACATGGAAAATTCTTCATTTTTGGTTAATACGTGAACAATAACGTGTTAAGCATTATCCTAATTAATTTTTTGAAAATATTAAGATTTGACCGAATGGCGAGCTCAAAACCGACCACTTACTAAATATTCGATCTACCAAATTTGGTAGTAATATTATTTGGAAAATGTTCGACTTTGGTTAATTTATCTATAAATACGTGCAAATCATTATCCCAAAAAATATTTTAAAAATATCGTGATTTGACCGATAACCGATTTGAAACCGAAATACTGCGTTGCTGGCGCTCTCCATGGAAAATTCTTCATTTTTGGTTTAATAGTGAACAATAAGGTGTTAAGCATTATCCTAAATAATTTTTTGAAAATATTAAGATTTGTCCGAATGGCGAGCTCAAAACCGACCACTTACTAAATATTCGATCTACCAAATTTGGTAGTAATATTATTTGAAAAATGTTCATTTTTGGTTTATTGTCTATATATACGTGCAAATCATTATCCCAAAAAATATTTTAAAAATATCGTTATTTGACCGATAACCGATTTGAAACCTAAATACTGCATTGCTGGCGTTATCCATGGAAAATTCTTCATTTTTGGTTTATAAGTGAAGAATAAGGTGTTAAGCATTATTCTAATTAATTTTTTAAAAATATTAAGATTTGACCGAATGGCTAGCTCAAAACCGACCACTTATTAAATTTTTTATCGACCAAATTTGGTAGTAATATTATTGAAAAATGTTTATTTTTTATATATATATCTATAAATACGTGTAAAACATTATCCCAAAAAATATTTTTAAAATATCATGATTTGACCGATAATAACATATTATGACCTCGGCCTGTAAATTTGTATCATTACTATGAAAAATTTTCTTTGTATTTTTATAAATTTTGAAATATTATCCGAAAAAAATTTTAAGCCCATTTTCCAGTTATTGAATTGATATCTATTAAATCCATTCTTATAAATTGGCAAGGTCAATGTTTAATTTAATAAGATCTTAGGCCCGGGGCATTTGACTCAGGACATGGGTATTTTGTATAAAATTATAGATACGATTAATAAATCAAGTAGTTTGAGAAAATTTAAAAAATATAATATATATCATCAAGTCTATCTAACAATGAGTGAGAGGGTGTGATCGATTTATAAAATATTAAAATTGGTATAAAAATTCTTGTTTTCATCCATAAAGATAACCTTTTCAACTAAATTTTTATTTAAAAGCCTTATGTTTGCAAGAAACTCACGCTTAAAAGAAATTTAAATAATTTCTGTTCGAAAACAAAGGATGACTATATAACAAATACAAACAATATTATATATATAAATTATATTTAGTCTCTCTTTAATAAATACTTTTTGTATTTTTTATTTTTTGGCTTCTCTTATATTTTGGATATAGCTATGTTATTCCTTTCAAGCAAATATATTTTTTGTAAACGTAACATCGTGTTTAATTAGTTAATAAAATATTAAAATAAAATATACAAAGATGCTTTCTACAAGTAATAAAATGAACATTTTTAAACATTCTTTATTTAGAATCAAGTGTTCCAAGAGACCTCTTCTTCATGGTGCCCAGGCTCTGTGTGGTGGACTTGAATGTGATGACTAATGCCTAACCTAATGAGACGTTCAATACCTAATCTAATGATATGACCAATACCTTATCTAATTGATGACCAATGCCTAACCTAATGAGATAACCAATACCTAATCTAATGTGATGACCTAAACCCATCCTAATGAGATGACCAATACCTAATCTAATGTGATGACCAATGCCTAACCTATTGAGATGACCAATACCTAACCTAATGAAATGACCAATGCCTAACCTAATGAGATGACCAATGCCTAACCTAATGAGATGACCAATACCTAACCTAATGAGATGACCAATGCCTAACCTAATGAGATGACCAATGCCTAACCTAATGAGATGACCAAGAATCAATATGGAAGTTGGATGATAGGCTATGAATTCTATATAGTGTAACCAATGATGATTTACAAATAATTCTAAATCCACGTAAGAAGAAAAGTTATTATAAATTAAAATTCTATGCCGAGATTATTGTATAAATTAACTTATTAAAATAACTTAAATGTAAATCAATCATAGTGGACATATTTGAATACATATAAAGCCTTAAAAAATATTTACTTAATAATGAATTAACAGTTGAATTTCTTATGCCTATTGATATTTTTCATATTTTTGATTTCTTGAATTATGACCAATTGTGGAAATTAACTGAATCACCCAATGACATTAATACTATAAACTGCCGATCGTAATGCTAAAATCAAATTTGAAGCGGCAAAAATTGAATTGAGTAGCAGTCATTTTTTGTTTGGAGTTTATACGTAAGAAACATATGATAATTTAATAAATGGTTTATTTTTATTATATTTATAATCTTATTTTTTTACTAGATGAATAAAAAACATTTTTAGAGCATTTATGGTTATACTGTTTTGATTATTGCCTAATGTAATCAAAAATTAAAATTAGATTTTACGTTTTAGGCAAAAATTTAACAGAACTTTACTTTTTCGGGCATAAATCAAGTGTTATAAAAATATGTTATTTAACTTAAATATTTATAGGTCAAGAAAAAATTATGGTGATTATTTGTAATAAAAAACTACACTTTATACCATATACTTTTAGTTAGAAGTAAATATAACATATATATATTATTTGTTTTTATTATTGTAAAAATTTATAAGATTATTTTATTTTTCACAATATACTATTCATTATTGATTTTTATACTTGAGTGAATTAAATTTAAATAAATATATTTAGAAATGGATAGTTATAATTATTAAGGAATAACATAATTCAAAGCAAAAATAAAATATAAAAAGACATAAATTA